GGCCACTGCACTCCAGTCTGGGCGACAGAGTGAGACTCCAACTCAAAACAAAAAACAAAAAACAAAACCAAAAAAAATTTTTTTTAGAGATGAGGTCTGGCTATGTTGCCCAGGCTGGTCTCGAACTCCTGGCCTCACATGATCCTCCTGCCTCAGCCTCCCAAAGTGCTGAGATTACAGGCGTAAGCCACCTCACCTGGCCTACTTATTCAGTTTATTGTGTAACATTTTCTTCCCTGCTCTAAGATAGATGCTCTCCTAGGTAAGTTCATCTACATCTCTCACTCTGTCCCCGACACCCAGAAGAGTGCCTGGCCTGGAGTCCGCCCTCTGCAAATATTTTGCCAACCAGAGTCCTGCAGCACAGAAAACCCCCGGCCTCCCACTCTGGTACAGGCCACATTCGGAGTGTTTGCAGGTGCTGACTGATTTTCTCAGCATCCCGCTCCCATGGTAACCGGGGGTGGCTGGGAACAGCCAGAAGTCACTTGTTCCCCCCAGGCACGCGACCCACCCTCCTCGACCGATCACACTGACCCACGAGTCCTGGATGCTCACAGCTCAGCCACCCAGCGGCTCTTCCGGCCACAGGGCCCCGCAGTCCCATGAAATCCCAGGGGCACATACACTCGGCCCCCGCAGCCACCCAATCAAGGCAGCTGATTGCACGCCCACGCCCCTCGCCATCACACCCTGCAGCCGCTCCTGGGCCTGTGACACCTCGCAGACCAGATGCCTGGCGGTTAGCGCGCCTCCTCCGCCCGGGCCCAGGCTGCGCCGCCATCCTGCAGGCCCCGCTGGGGTGTCACGTCGCCCCCTCCCTCCAGCCCGCTCTGTATAGTCCCTGGTGCCGCTCCTGCACCCACCTCTCCATTTCCTGTCTTCCTTTCTCTCTCTAACTGTCTCTCAGCCTCTCTGTGTCTCTCTGTCTCTCCCTCTCTCTGGCTCTGTCTCTCTCTCCAATGGTCTCCCGGTCTTCCACCCTCTCTCTGCCTCGGTCTCTCCCCACCTCTGTCTCTCAGTGTCCAAAGAACAGAATAACCCAAGTCAGCGCCATACAAGCAGGGATTTCAATCAGGCAGTCATTCAACAGACACGCGTCTGGACACACTGACACGCACACAACACGGGACAGGCGCATACAAGGCGGTCATGTGGGGACATTTGCCTGCCTCCACGCTCCGGGTTCCAGGATATTTTAAATGTTCTGTGGGTGGGAAGAAATGGCGGCTGGACCTCCTGCGGGGGTTGGGCGCTGTCCGCAGTGCCGAAATGCCATGGGGGGGTCTCCCAGGATGTGCTCCTCACACACCCGGACACAGACAGGTGCTGGCACAGTGACACGCTGACAGTGTGACACACACCTCCATCACACTCTCGCAGACACGCCGTGATCCACTGACATGCAGTTACTGACACGCAGTGACACGCGCATCAACTAGTGCCCTGGCAGGGGTGCCCTCAGGGGACCCAGAAGGAGCAGAATTACAACTAGCAGGAAACAGCAAGAGAGACTGGAGCTAGAGGAAGGCAGGACTTCCTGAGATCAAAGGAAGCAGCTTCCCTCCTGGCCTGGCCCCTGGCCTCCTGGAAAGTCTGCTCTCTCAGCCTCGTTCGAGGCCTCTGCCTCTGAGCTCAGATTCCTTCTCAGCCTCACCCTGTCTCTCACTCACCCACACCTTCTCTCCTGAGATCTCGCCTTCCCTGGGTCTCTCTCCTCCCTGTCTGTCTCTGTCTCTCCCTCTGTCTTCCTTGATCTCAGTCTCTCAATCTCTCCCTTTCTTGATGGGTCTCTGTCTGTTTCCTTCTCCCTGTGCCTCTAGGTTCCCGTGTCTGTGTCTGTCTCTCTGTTCTGTGTTCTGGCTCTGTTCCTTCTTCTTGTGTCTCTGTTCCTTCTACCTGTGTCTCTAGGTTCCTGTCTCTGTGTCTGTCTCTCTGTTCCTACTCGTCTCTCTGTGTCTCTTTGCTCTCTGTTCCTACCCCTTGTCTCTCTGTGTCTCTGTCTCTCTGTTCCTGTCTCTGTTTCTTCTCCTCTAGGTTCCTATCTCTGTCCCTCTCTGTGTCTCTGTTTCTCTCTCCTGTTCTGTCACTGTCTCCAACTCTCCCTGTCTCTGTTTCTTTGGGTCTCTCTCACGCACCCTCCCCACCCTGTCTCTGGGCGCCTCTCCTCCATCTCTGTGTTGATCCTGCCTGGGTCTCCCCTCCAGACCGGCTGCTTCAAAGCATCTCTAATTAGCGCCTGCCTGTCAGAGAAGGATGTGTCTCCCTTAACGCTAATTAGCCTCCGGCTCTCCGTCTCCTGATGTCACAGCCGGGAGCTTGGGAGGGGGTGGGGGACAGAGGGTATCCCAGCCTGGGGAAGCCGTGTGGAGGAGGGGGGGGCCTGTGGGGTGGCAGCAGCAAGAGGGAAGCGGGTTGGACCACAGGAAGGACCAGAACAATCAGAAAGGCAGCTCTCCCCAGGTCTCCACCTCGTGGGTGGGAGACCTGGGGCTGGGATGGGGACCCCGCCCCCAGAGGCCCCCCAAGTTCTCAGCAATCCCGAGACCTAGCCAGACAGGGACACGGAAAGGATGGAGAATCTGTGACTGGCATGTCTCGTCAGAGAACTGGACACTGGTGCCAGGGAGCCAGGATGGACAGAGACGAGACCCAGAGAGAATGACAGAGAGAAAGAAACAGAGAGAGACACACACACAGAGAGAGAGAGAGACAGAAATAAAGACACACACACAGGAAAAGAGAGACACAGAGTGACAGACACACACAGAGAGAAAGGGAGAGAGAGGGAGGTGGGAGATGCGAGGGAGAAATGGCGGGATCTCCGCAGGGAGGAGCTGAGGCGGCCAGAGCGGAGACTCCGGGGAGGGGGA